CCCCGCCACTGGGTGAGCAGGCGGTTTCTGAGACACAGCAGCAGGTGGGGTAGGCGTGTTGGGTGTGGTGGCTGGAGTCCGAGGCCCTGCCCCTTTCAACTGTAAAATGGGAGACATAATAGTGATTCCCAGACTGCATTTCAGCAAACCGCACAACAGACGTGGATGGTAAAGAACAGTTTCCCTGGACACTAGCCTAACACCCACGGAGGAGAATTTCCTGGTGAGTGTACGGCCCCAGGTTAAACCTCAAAAGAAGAAGTGGTGGCACACACCTATAATCCCTGAATCCAGGAAGTGGAGCCAGGGGAGTGAGTTCAAGGCTAGCCTTGGCTACAAGGTCAGTTTGAGGACAGTCTGGGCTTATCTAAGATCCTGTCTCAAACAACAAAGACAAACAAGAAGATGAAAGAGCTGGGGAAAATTTGATTTGGGATAAGACTTGGTTGCTACCAAGTTCCGGTCCTTTAACAGTCTCTCTCTCATGTGCATAGCATCTTGCTACTGCAGGCGCCCTGCCTAGGACTATGCAAGACAGAGAACTGAATGGCACACAGCTGCTGCGAGCTGGCCTCCACAGGGCAAGGGAAGTGACTGTCATTGAGGCAAGACAGAAAGACAGCAAGATGAGAAAGGAAAAGAGCCTTCCCCTCTTGATCCTGTTTGAGCCTCTCGTTGGCTGCCAAGTCAAGAATTTTACCACAGTTAGAGAAAACACCCAACAAAACCACGTGAAGACTACCTCCATAGGGGCAATATTCCTTTCTCTGAAGGATTTCACAAACAAGAATGCTAAGGCAGCCACACACCATGGTTAGGGCCTTAGTACTCTGAAGGTATTTGTAAAGTTTATGTTCTATCCAAGTGTTAAGTTTTGAAAAAAATTCATGAATAAAATTGCAAACCATATTTACAGACAAAAGAGGTACCTGGGCTTCTCTGTGACTCGTGTGTAGTAAGAATTCCTCTCATCTTTTTTCCCCCTTCCCATTCCTCTCTCCAACCCCTCCCATGTATCCCTCCCTGCTCTCAAATTCACAACCGCTTTTTCGTTAATATCTATACACACTCCTAAATATATAAACTCAACCTGCTCAATCCATGTAATATTCCCTGCATGTTTGTTTTTGGGGCTGGCCACTTAATATTTAATAACCAAGTGGTGTGCTCTTCCTTGGAATCAGTTTCTCCGGCTCTCAGTATTCGTAGTTGTCTGCAGTTCGTTCTCTAGGGCTGAGGCCCCTCTCCCCTTCCACAATGGCATGTCTACTGAAGTTGCCCCATGTGGACCTTGTTGAGGCAGCCATGTTGGTAAGACTTCATGGGTAAAGCGCCTCTGTTGGTTCTAGGAGACACTCTCACAGTAGAATCTTGTTCTGGCTCTTAAATCTTTCTGCCCCTTTTCCTGGTGACCCCTGAGCCTTACGTGGAGGAGCCGTATAGGAAAATGGTTATTAAATGATGAAATATGCAAAGAATTGAAAATGATAGTGTAGTTTAAATTAAGCATCCATGTATTTATTTTTGACAATACTGGAGACTGAACCCAGGACCTCAAGCATGACAGGTAAGTGCCCCATCTCCTACCACCACTGAGCTCCTTCCCAGGCCTTAACAGGCCTGTTTATGAATACCCAGGAAGCTGAGGAAATGCTCAGAAAATGACAGTGTATAAAAAGCAACACAATTACTATTAGAGTTCTTGAAAATATTTTTTATTCTAAGAAAATTATCTAGCTGTGTTTGCATAATAAAAAGGTGAGAGACTGCAATTTTGTTTTATTTCTATACTTTTTAAAACAAAGAACATGAATTCAGACAAACAAAAATATGGCTAATCGTAAGATTTACCAAAACGTCCAGTTTTGTCCATATCATTTCAGTTGAAGTCACACGCAAGGGAGTAGAGAATAGCAGGCCAGCAATGACACCTTCCCGAGGAAGCCGCTCTCAACTCTGTGCACTTTCCATTATGGCAAACATTCTGGGGGCCCCAGGCAGCAGCTCCCATGATTACTTTCCCATAGTCTGTTAGACACAAAGTCAAACCCCAGCGAGGACTGGGAGGACCTGAGAACCGCTTCTGTTTCTCAGCGGATGGAGTAAGGATCAGGTCAGCAGTGCAAGAAGAGGGAAGACAGGACAAGCGGAGGCAAACTCCTTTTCCTGCTTCACCAGATTTTATTCAACACTTCAAATTTTTCCAGCTTTTTTAGTTTTTGCTCCAAAAAAAGCATCGAGACTTTTCATCCCACTCTTGTCGACTTTAGCCAAAGCCTTCTGAGCTGCAGTCATTTTGCCATTTTTCTGCTAAGAAAAACAAGAGATTTGCAATATTTGTAAGTTATCATACACACAAATCACACCAGTCTCAATCTTGGCAGTGGGGCCAGGGGCGGTGGAGCGAAAGCAAGGCTGCTGCTACCTCTCAGGACGCAGACTTCTAAAGAAAACCAGCCCCACTGAGGAGGGAATGCTCCAGGTGGTTCCTCCTGGGGACCATTTTGAGGGTGCCTTAAATGGAATGATACGGACAATGGCGGCAATGACAGCAACAGTCGGGGGTGTCACAGCCTGTATTCTCCACCCGATGATAAGGAGCTCCTCACAATCCGATTTTGTTTGTGCTCTACAGAAAACCAAGGACAGCGCTGTCATATTCAAAAGATGGCCTGCAAGGCAGTGTATTCCAGGCTGTGGCCTCGCTGTCCCACTGCGGTGGCAAAAGGGAAATGCTTGCCAAGGAGCTGACTCCACTTCACTCTGCCCTGGAAACTTCTATTGGTCCCGGCCACTAACTCTCTTCAGTGCGGTGGTGAGGTGTAACCACTGGGAAGTGAATGGCTTTTCCACGGAAGACGGGGCAGAAAGATTTCCACCAGAGAGACTCACAATGTCCCCACATAGAATACTGAAAGACTGAGATATTTGAGCAAAACTCAAAACTGGAATTTTTTTCTGCCCAAGGAATTAAAGTTGAAAAAAAAACTTAAATGATAGATTACTACAATCTAAACGGGAGATAACGTGTCTTGGGATGGGTGAGCACAAAGTGGGGGGGATCATAAAGAGAAGCAAATTATATACCTAGCCTCAGGAAAAAACTTTCAACTGTTTAAATCAAGCAAAAAGGCTAAAGATACATGGGCAATTTTCTTTTTGCCCTGGATGTGCCATAAAAAGAGTCATTAGCCTTAACTTAGAATAAACCTCACAGATAACAGAAAAGCAATGTTGTCACAACACAGAAACAGGCAAGGGTCACAGCTCACAGTCTATGCAAGTACAAAGTGCCAACAAGCAACTCGGAAAACAGACATTTCTAGTTAAGGAAATGCCTCATTTGACAAGTAAAAACTTCAAAAGTACAAATAACACTCAGTGCAGCCCGGTGGCAAGCAGGGGCTGGGAGTCACAGCTTCCTGGGAGCATTTAGCTGTCTATTTCCATCGCCTGAAAAGCCTGGTGTTCTCTGAGCTCGGTCTTCTAAAGTGAGGGCAATGCAGTGGTCAGAGCAAGGACTAAATAAGAACACCTTCGTTTCATCAGAGCAAGCCAGGCAGTCGCTAACCTGAATGCGCAAACACAGCAACTGGTAAGCTCACGTGACTACGTGCCAGGACTAGTGTGGCGAGAGAGGTTTAATGGCGCACACTCTCATAATGCTAAATGAAAGGGCAGAGCGAGACCTAGGTAAAAAATGCAGCATGTTAGCCATGATGCACGCATAAGATAGAAGCCAGCAAGGAACGCTACTGGGCAGACATCTGCAGTGCATGCTGAAAAGTGGACCTGTCGTTTGTTATTTACTGTAATTTCTTGAACCTTCTTGGCAACGGGGCTGAGAAACAATTCCTGGAGAGGTTTGGTTCCCTCTCTTCCATAGCTCTATGAACACACAGCAAAATTTAACCCCTTTCTCTACACCTAAAGCTTTCCTTGGATTTGCAAAATGTATTACTCTAACACGTTCACTATCTGAACAGTTGTGAATGAATTATGATGTTCTAAATGCAAGTTAATCATTTTTTCCTGGTGAAAAGTGTAAGCCTAGTCAATAGTGCAGGCATCATGGGAAACGTGAAGCCACTGGGCCTGTGCAACGCGCCAGTACACCTGGACACACATACCTTGCCAGTCTTCAAGTCTTTAGTGTTAAACTTAGTGTAATCTTCTTTGGCTTCTACAGGTTCATCTGATACCTTTAGTTTCTGCAATGTTAGAGCAGCGAAGCAGGGTCAGACACCATCCTCTCCCCAGCCATTATAAACAAACAGATATACCCTGGGGACCCTGCGGACGCCAACAGGTGCACAGTCTACATACTCCTTCACATTTTGGGGGAGGAGGCCACATGGCCTTTCCAGGAAGCAGCCTTGGCCATGACAGACCACAAGAGAAGAGGTACCTGACTTGGTCCCTCAGGCCTTCAATGGCATAAACCCTCTGTGCACGCATCAGGCACTGTGGGGCTTCTAGGCCACTACAGAGTGCAAGGGCAGCTGAGGGCTGAGTAAAAGGCATAGAAGTTGGAGAAAACAATCCCCGTTATGGACCCTGCTGCCAGGGGTCCACTCCATGCAGCCCCGGTCTGCACGAATGCCCACCACTGAACACAGGCGGCGTGACTGTCACCACCAACTCTGCACAGCGGGAGCCTTGCCTTTTCTGTTCCATTCAGCTTCCCCATTCATGCACACAAAAACCTTGCACAGCAAGCAGCCAGAGAAGAGGAGATCTAAACAAACACTCCAGGTGGTGGCAGAGGCTGTGGAGCTAGATCTCAAAACAAACAAACAAAAGCTAAATTAAAATACGCTTATTTCTTTACTCGTGTGTTTGCTTGGGTATGTGCACGCCACGACACACATGGGAAAGAGAAAAGACAACCTGAAGAACTTGGCTGTCTGCTTTTACTACATAGATTTCAGAGAACTCAGGACTGGCTAGCAAGCATCTTTATCCCCTGAGCCATCCTACTGCCCCTGTCTCATAGCTTTTTTATTTAAAAAAAAAATGACCTATGTACACATATGTGTGTGTGCGCACATGCACAAGCATGTGCATGCTAATTTCAGTCTTCATACATATTCTGTGTCCCTCAGGTCCAGTGAAATTAGGTCACACCGTCACATATTTTCACCATTCACAAGATCCCTGTGCTCCTCATACGTGTTCTGTATGCGAGACTTCTGTGACCTGGGCTGAGAATTCAGGAGACCATAATGTGGAAAGGAAGTCTCTGCTTCTCAGAGAAAGCAGAGCCGAGTGGATGGCCTTGTGCTATGCAGAGGGCAGACTGCAGGGTGATCACGATGTGGGTTTGCACAGACCTTTATAAGCTTTTTGTGGAACTCCTAGATACGCACGAGCCAGCACCAGTGCCCTTGAGAAATGCAGCCTGCACTCCCGCACCTTCCTTCACTCTGTGTTTACTGGACAAAGAACCAGCAGAGTCATTGCTTACGGGCTCCAGGACACAAGATAAAGACACAGGGAAATTCTGAAATTCCTTGCCGTAAGAAAGAGGAAGATTTTCTTGGCCACAGAGCAATCTTTGCCAAGGGAATCAGCAGCAGCAAAGGTTGGCTTACTATACAATAATGACCTATGAGCACAAACTGAGCGGATGCACGCCAGGTGTGCATGCCTGCATTCCTGGCACTTAGGAGGCTGAGACAAGTGGACTGCCATGTGGGTCAAGGTCAACCTGGGCTACAAAATGAGTTGCAGTCCAGTTTGAATGACTGAATGAGACTGTGTCTCAAAAGATAAAATCAACAAAAGAATCCACCATGGCATCCAGGTACGGTGCGGAGGGGGACATGAACTGGACAGGCCTTCAGCTAGGAAAGCACAGTTGATATGAAGGTTGACCATGAAGACAGGAAGGTGTTTGTGTCCCTTCTCTATCGCAAGTCATTTTCCATTGACTCGGGGTGGGATGTCCAGGTGCTCGGAGACCTAGCAGAGGTTGCAGAAGCTAGGAACAGGTCAGAGAGGACTCAAGGTTAGTACTGTCGTTAGCCTTGACCAAGGAAACTTCTCTTTGGAACAATCTAAGTCAGGGTGATGAGAACAAAAGGCTTATTGAATGTTCAGCCTTAAATGGGACATTCATATTCCTGTAAGGCTCCCAGAACACTACCGAAAAGAGGGCAAAAGATGCAAGTGCTAGACCACCGAGAGGAAGGCCAGGAGCACTGTTACAAGCATGGCATGACTGCGGTGCGCACGGACGCAGAACCACTGCACTTGAAAAGGGAATGAACAAGACACGGGAAAGAAACAGTCACAGACGGAGATGCATCGTGGGTCCCAGTTCCCCTAGACAAACTAGAGGCACCTGTGCGCTCTGAGGAGAAAAGACGTGATTGTCTTCAGGTGATACAGCAACCAGTGAGTCTCTCAGGTTCTAGAGGACAGCTCCACACCCATGCTCACAGGGGGAGCTCTGGTTGAACCCAGTGGGCCACAAAGCAAAACCAAAATAAAAAGACATGAGAGAGTGAGGAGGGAATTGGTGGAAGCAAAAGACTTTGGGGCACCTCAGCTTACTGCACCTCCCTTCCTGGGAACCGGGACCCTGGTAACCAATCACGTGTGCACTGGAGCTTTGAGTACTTTCCATCCCCTTTGTAGTCTTTCTTCAATAGACCCAGACCCTGGAACTGGGGTGAGATGACCTGCAGATGACCTGCGAGTGTTCTTCCTTGTTCAACCAACCCAGCAACCGCCATAGCATTGATCAACTAGTTAGCTGACCATTGAATGAACTAGTCAAAATAGTTGACAAATGATTTCTGGACTCTCCCTTTTGATTCTGTACTACCCCCCTTGATTCTGTGGTTTTCTCCTTTAAAAGAGCCTGTAATAGACAAAGCAGGGGTCCTTCTCCTCTCGAGGCTGAGGAACCTCTGCTGCGGCAATAAAATAAAAGTTCCTCTTGCTATTGCATCAACCACGGTGAGAGTGTCTCTTGGGGAGACCTCCTCCTTGGTGGGGCTTTAGGGCCCAACAGAAGGAGGGGGGATTTGCAGTAGTGGGAAAAGGATGGAAGGGTGGAGGAGATGCCAGCAGGATGTATTATACATACGCACGGAATTGTCAAAGAATAAATTAATTTTAAATATACCACCGAGAGACGGCATTATAAAGCGCTTGGACCTGCCTCGCTTCACTGGAAAGTTGAGCATAGAAACTGCTAGTACATAGGTCAAGGATACCACCATACAAACGTTCAACGTGTAGGGAGAAGGAAGGTGTTTTAAAAGTTCACATCCACATGAAAAATGTTAAAGTGCTTATTAAAGGAAAACAGGAAAAGAAGAGGAAGGGAAAGGGATGAGAGGGAAGAAAATGAAGGGAAGAGGGAGGGGAGGGACGAAAAGTGAAGAGGGACAGTGAAGGAAGGGACGGAGGGGAGGAGAGCAATATCTTCTGTAGGTGACTAGTTTTTATGTTCACTCTGGCATAATTCTGCTATATACAGTGGGAAATAAGGGGATGTGGTATTTCCTGCTATTTTGATATTTAAAAGTCTGAACCAGGGACTGGGCAGTTGCTTCAGGAGAAATAACGAGTCAGAAAGACACACAAAGAATGCAACTGAGCAGATGTGTTCTAGGAAGAGAATCAGGCAGTATACCCTAAGACCAACAGTCCCTGGCCTTCAGCGCTCTTACAAAAATGTCTCCAAGCCCACTGACTGTATTCTGCTCTGTTAGTTGACAATGACAAGTCAAAAACCTGACGGGGTGGGATGCTGGACCTCAGCCAAGGCAGGCTTGTGGACAGCAAGGATGTGAAGTTCCATGCAACCCTTTATCACCACACGCAGACTACTGGAAGCAAGCTCTCATACCTTTATAAAAACCGGGCAACTCCTGGGCACCAGCAGGAAGGTCAGAGGCAACCTATGTTGTTTAAATGTTTTCATTTGTTTTGTTTTTCACAATGGTATTACTCTGTGAAGATCTGGCTTTCCTGGAAATCACTCTGGAGACCAGGCTGGCCTTGAACTCAGATCTGTCTGACTTAGCTCCTAAGTGCTGGGATTAAAGGAGTGCACCACCGCACCTAGCTACTGTCTGTGCTGTTTAAAACTATACTATATCAACCAGTACAGCAAGTCCTCTGAACCCCAGAATCCCTAGGTCACATGGAGGAGTAGGAGGCAACAAACAATCTAGACTTGAGGCCGAGGCTCTCAGGAGCATGAGAGGCTGAGATCTAAATGTTTGGGCAAACTAAGGCCCATAGGCCAAATCTAGTCAGTGCTGAATGTTATAAAAGATGTTTTCTTGAAGCACTGATGCACTGTGTGCTGTAGCAGCTGTGTTCTCCCTAAGTACAGAACTGAGACGTCTTAGAGCTCATAGACTGCTCAGGAAACCCAGAGTCACTGTCTGTTTCAGTCTGCACTCAGTGCCTGTAACACCCTACCGTCACCAGCTGCGTCACCTACAGTCAATGCCTGCATCACCCTACAGTCACCAGCTGCGTCAGTCCATAGTCACCATCTGAGTCAGTCTATAGTCAGTCTGCGTCGGCCTACAGTCAAGAGTCTGCGTCAGCCTACAGTCAGAGTCTGCGTCGGCCTACAGTCAAGAGTCTACGTTGGCCTACAGTCAAGAGTCTGCGTCGGCCTACAGTCAAGAGTCTGCGTCAGCCTACAGTCAAGAGTCTGCGTCAGCCTACAGTCAGAGTCTGCATCAGTCTCGTCATTGGCTCAAGCAGTGTCCCCATTTTCAGAGGTCACCTAAAAACATCAGTAAACACATATTAACATTATACTTTATAACAGCAGCAAAACTACAGTTATTAAGTAGGAATGAAAACAATTTTATGGTGGGGTCACCAAAATATGAGAAACTGTATTAAAGGGTTGCAGCATTAGGAAGGTTGAAAAATCACTGGTCTAAAGTTACAGTCTGGCCTTTACAGAAAAATTGCTGACCTTGGATCCAAATACAAAATGATAAAAGCATAAATTACCTAATGTTGGAAACTTAAATTAAAAAAATAAAATAGAAAACAGGAATGGAGGAGAAACTAAAGAAATATACTACTCGGTATGTTCAAAACACATTATGTAGATATATGAAATTCCTGAAGACTGAAAAATTATGTATACAAATATAAATTATATATACATACATAAAAATAAAAGGCTAGGATTCAACATAGCGTCCAGTGGGGCAAAGCAGCTGACAGACAGGCATGACAGGACATGGTACAATCCTAGTCACTCATAGATGGAGGTGGAGGACTGTGAGTGAGGTCAAGGCCAATCTGGGCTGTATATAGAGATGCTGCCTCAAAAATAAATAAGTGGAAAAATAAAATGAAAATATTTTTAAAAGAAAGGAGGAAGTATTAGGTGTGGTGGTGCACTCCTTTATTTCAGTACTTGGGAGGTAGAGGCAGGTGGGCCTCTCTGAGCCCCAGGCCAGTCACAGCCACAATGAGATCCTGTCTCAAAAACAACAACACAGGAAAGAAAAGGAAGAAATACTTTATTCCAGAAGGTCTCAATGGTGAAAACCAGACTGGAAGGATGTGGGATTCCCCTCTGTATGCTGTGAATATGCTCATTCATGTACCATTGGTTAATAAAGAAGCTGCTTTGGCTGTTTCTGTCTACACTGGAAAAATGAATCAGTAGTTAAGAGCACTGGTTGTTCTTTGGAAGATCTTCGTTCACTACCCGGCACCCATATGGCAGCTCACACAGTTCTGTAACTCTGGACTCTGCAGGCACTGCACATATGAAGGCTAAATACTGACATACAAAATAAAAATAAGTCATCGGTCGGGCTACCAGTGGTCATGCAGGGCCTCTGTTGAGGCTGCATGTGTCTGATCACCATTTCCAGAAGTGATCACCCATGTTAGTCTCCAGGGTACACGCAGACTTTTTTGTGAGCTGGTGGCGCCGCTGCGGTTAGGAGGCAGATGATTGCCACTGCCGGATCACACACAGCTTGAGGGGATGATTCCTTGAGTCTCTTGATGTTTCCCATCCATTACCCTGATAGTCTTCCTTTAAGGTGAAAGGATCTGATGGTCTGGCATAGGAGTAGTGGACCCAAGTAGCAATACTGTGGACCTTGAGTGCGGTCAGTGTGGTCAGCAGAATTACATAGGGTCCTGTCCACTTGAGTTCCAAAGGCTTCGTCCGGTGTCTCTGCCAGAATCTGTGGGACTGGGGTGGGGGAGGGGGCGCCAGATTCATAAAGCTCTCTTAACTTAGGTCAGACCTCCTTGTGGCCCATTGGATTCCCCATACAGCGTCGAGGATTTCACGGCCAGCCAAATCTGCTAACAGGTTTGCCTGGAGATTGGAGGTAATGGGAGGTGATGTACCAAACATGATCTCAAACAGGGTTAGTCCCTTCTGGTAGGGGTAATTTCTAACTCTATATAGGGCAAAGGGAAGGAGAACCACCCCATCTGTGCCAATCTCTAAGTCAATTTAGTTAGGGTCTCTTTTAGCCTTCTGTTCATCCTTTCTACCTGTCCTGAGCTCAGGGATCTGTGTGCACAATGCAGTTTCCAATTGCTCCCCAGAATGGGCTAAATTCTGATTTACCCCAAATGTAGCCCAATATCTGACACTGTCGTGGTTGGAAAGCCATACCTGAGCAGGATGTCTTCAAGTGGTTTCTTTGCTACTACCTGAGCTGCTTTATATTTGGTAGCAAAGGCTTCAGTTCATCTGGAAAGAGTGCCTATGAATACTAGCAGATGCCTGTAACCATACTTGCCACGTTTTATCTCAGTGAACTCCACTTCCCAGTAGGCCCCAGGCTTCTTATCTCAGTCAAGTCCAGGATTTTGAGGGTTGGTTGCAGTGTTGGTGAGCTAACAGGCTTTATAGTTAGTAGTAATGTCAGTAATTTTTTGTTGTATGTCTTTGATTTTTTTGATTGTCTAACCAAGTCCTGCATTCTCTGGGTTCCCGTATGAGAAGATCAATGAATCCTGCTGAGTAGCTTCTTTCCCAGGTGTTCAGGGAGGATGACTTTACTGTCTGCTGCCCTCTACTATCCATCCAGACACCGCATCATAGGGGTCTTGATCCAGGATCTACCAGTACATGTGCAAAGACTACATTAGTATGGCGTGCCATCTGCCGGGTGCTTTTGTCTGCCAGGTTGTTTCCACTGGGGATGGGTCTATCTCCTCTGCGGTGCCCCAGGCAATGGATGATGGCGAGTTTCTTGGGCAACCTTTTTAGAAGGGTCAGAATTTCATCTTTATTTTTGATGCTTTCCCTCTTTGGTTAACAGACCCCCCCTTTTTTGCATATTGCCCCATGCACATGCGACGTGGTCAAAGTGTACCGGATGTCGGTGTAGATGTTAACCTTTCATACTTCCTCAAGGCAATCAGCTCTGCTAGTTGGCACTGACTCTGCCCATATTGCCTACTCTGCAGTGGTGACTGCTGTCCTCGCATACCTTAGGCCATCCTGCATGAAGCTGCTGCATGCAGTCTTGTACATTAAGTGTCTTGTAGGTCTGACCTAATGCTGTGTGCTTGGGCCAGGAATGGTAGTGCAGTGGTGCTTCCAGCTCGGAATCCAGAGCTGAGGGTACCTGGCAAGTTATTCTGGAGGGGTTTAGCAAGAGTTTGATAATGAGTCATTCTGTCATCGCCCAGCCATCGATCGGGTGGCGGGGGTGGTTATGGTGAGGTTTTGTCCCAAGATCAGTTTGTCAAATGTCCTTGACTAGCTGGACCACAGTTGCTATTATATGGAGGCAGGGTGGCCATCCAGCCGCCACAGGGTTTAACTTCTTGGACAGGTAAGCTACAGGCTGTTGCCAGGAGCCCAGTGTTTGGGTCAAGACTCCCTTGGCTATTCCTCTGCTTTCATCTACATACAGATGAAATGGTTTAGTCACATCTGACAGACCCAGTGCTGATGGCAAGAGTAGGCTTTCTTTGAGTTTGTCGAAGGCCAATTGGTGGTCCTTGGTCCAAGTGAAATCCCAGCCCTTCTTGGTGGCTTCACAAAGGGTTTAGCCAGTTCTGCAAAGCCTGGGATCCATGGGTCACAGAGACTTGCAGAGCTAAAGAACTCTCTCACTTGCCTGGCAGTAGTAGGCATAGGGATCTTAAGCATTGTCTCTTTCCGTGTGTCTGAAAGCCATTGCTGTTCTTCCTTTAAGATGTACCACAGGCACGTTACCTGCGGCATGCAGATTTGGGCTTTCCTGGCCAAGGCATGGTACCCTAGGTCTCCCAGAGTTCGTAATAGTCGCTCAGTCCCAATTAGGCAGGTCTCTTGATCTATGGCTGCAATAATAGGTCACCAACATACTGCAACAATTTGATATCTGCATTCTGTGCCCGGTGCTCACACAGGTCCCTCTGTAGAGCTTCAGCGAAGATTCTTTTGATCCCTGTTGTGTCTCGTCCATGTCAGCTGGCCAATGACACAATCTCTGGGTCATGTCATTCGAAGGCAGAGTACTGTTGGCTCTGGGGGGCCAAGGATAGACTAAAAAAGGCATCTCTTAGGTCCACGACAGTATACTATTGCTGGTCTGGGGGCAATGAGTAAGTTGTATGGGTTAGGCACTGTGGGGTGTATGTCAATCACCCTCTTGTTGACCTCCCACAAGTCCTGGATCATTCTGTAATCATTAGTGTGAGGCTTCTTGACAGGCAGCAGGGTGTTTTCCAGGCCGACTGCACCGGCCTGAGGACCCCCAAGTCCAGCAACCTCCTGATGTGGGGTGTTATGCCCTTATTGGCCTCAAGAGGCAAAGGGTACTGGCAGACCTTGACTGGGTTTGCTCCTGGTTTGGTTTCTACATATACAGGGAGGCAATGCTTAGCCAGCCCATTCCCCGTCTGGGCCCATGCGGATGGAACTTCTGAAGCCATTTCTCTAGTTGGGGGTAAGGCTCCGTGGCTACCATATGTAGCCTCTACTCTTCCGCCTCACTACTTGTCACCAGATATGCACATGGCCTTTCCATCTTCATTAGGCAATTTAGCTCCTTCATCAGAGAAATGTATCTGGGCTTTCATTTTGGTCAGTTAATCACAGGCCTATAAGGGGTACGGGCACTCTGGGATCACCAGGTTCCAAGTCTACCATTCTTTGAGTAGTTCATGAATAAAGTCCGGCACCAGTAGCATCCTGGATCCAAGTCTTTTTGTCTGTTATGGGTCCATCAGCCCTCAGTAACACTGAGTTCTGGGTTCTTCTGTCCACCAGAAAGTCAACTGGTTTCCCCTCCACTCTTGGGGTTCCCCTGGGCTCGGGAAGGGGGATCCGAACCCCATCTCCCCTAATCGCTGTCCATGTCTCGCTGTTTCCAAACTTTGGTACTTCTCCTTGCTGCCTTTAGAGGGCATGCTTTAACCCAGTGCCCTTCGCCTTCCTTTATTACCTTTTGGTTTCCTGTCTTCCTCTCCAGCAGCCAGGCGTCGTGAGAGGCTCCCACGCTCCTCCGACTCCTCTGTGGCAGCGCATACTCTAGCAGGCTGTCGGATCTTGCACTGCTCTTTCTGTCTTTCCTCCGCACTAACCCTATTGTCATAGAACTTTTCTGCCACTAGCACTAAATCCCAGACATTCTTTTCTCTAAGGTCGTCTAGGCTTAGCAATTTTTCCCTAATGTCTGGAGCTGACTGAAAAACAAAAGCCATCATCATCATGGAAGTGACTTCAATGTCCTGGGAGTGGGGATCGTAGAGCGTATACCTCCTAACGGTCTCCTCGAGGCGCTCCATGAATGCTGCTGGCCTCTCATCTGCTCTCTGTATTACAGCATGGATTTTACTCCTATTAGTGTGGGTGGCTGCTCTGAGACCAGCCAACAGAACCTGACGGTAGACCAAGAGGTTCCTCTTCCCTTCATATGTATTATAATCCCACTCAGGACGAATTAGGGGAAAGGCTGCATCTCTAAGTGGCTCAAGTTTTGTGGCCTTCCTGTGGGGCTGGGAACCAATTTCCGGGCCTCCATCAGTACCAGGTCCCTCTCCTCTGCAGTCAGAAAAATTTTTAATAGCTGTTGGCAGTCATCCCACGTGGGTTGATGATTTACAAGAAAACTTTCAAGGAGACCAATCAGTTTACTAGGATTTTCCAAGAGAGGTGGACATAGGGCTTTCCAAAGATAGAAGTCACTAACGGTGAAGGGCCAGTCACGATTTGGTTGATTCCTATCCTTATCTGGGGCCCCTGCTGCTCGAAGGATTTCTGTGCTAGAATCAGGGTAATCTCCCCTACGGCTATGAGTCCCATGAACTGGTCCCTCTCTTACTGGGACCAGCGGAAGAGGGGCAGGCTGGGTGAGTGGTTGGGCGGGTGGAGCTGTTGCACCACCAGGGGAAAGAATATAGGGTGGAGGGGGAAAGATTTCTTCCTCTGTGTTGCCCCTTTGGATGATTTCTGGCTCAGGAGCAGAAGGAGTGTTAGCAGGCAGCTCCTTTTCTCCTGGCCTCCAACTCCCAGATTGCTCCTCCGAGACAGCGATGCTACGAGTCAGCCAGCAAGGCTGGGACACAGCTCGGACTCCCAGTGTGGGTGAGGATGGGAACTTGGCGAGTGTGGTCTGGCAGGGCTGAGATGCATCAGGTGGCGAACACTCTGCAGTGGTCAGAAACTTAACCTGTCGAGGTAAGAAAGATTTAACCCAGGAAGGAGGATTTTGTACCAAATCACACCAGATCACAAGGTAAGGGATGTGATCTGGGTATCCTCCCTGGGGTCTGAAGACAATGCCTTCTATTGCTTCTATGAGGATTAGGTTGAAAGACTCCCTCCTGAGGCCACCCAGTGTTAAGAAGTTGGCCATTCTGATCATTAAAAAGTTTAGGCTTCTTAATCAGAACTGAAAGACTACGAGCACGTGCATTTACATCCAAGTAGTGGGTCAGAAGTAGATCCAGAAGAGAAGTTGTCTCTTCCATTGCATTCATCTCAGTCAAATACACAAATACAGACAAATTTAAACACTATAGAAAACCAAGGTCACAGAGAAAGAACTTGCCGCAAAGAGACCAAAGACACAGAAAGAAAGATGGTTTGTCACTCTGGTGCAGGCATGACCCACTCATGGCAAGGCTCCCAAATACTGTCCAGATAGCATAGGGCTCTCCGGCCTACCAGACACGAGGTTCCCGTGGAAACACGGAACCCAAAAGTTATGCATGTGTCTCAAAATTTCTAACGAAACCACAAAGCCAATTTTGGTATTGCGATGTAAATTCAAGAGGATCTTTGTTTAGCAAGCTTAAGCTCGGACCACAAACCAACACAGCAGGTGAGAAGAGAATGCAGCCTGAGTTCAGAAAAAGACAAGCTTTTAAAGGGAGAAGTGCAGCAAGTAAGGGGTACACGTCTTGTTGTCTTGGGATTGGGTAAAGAGGGTACAGAGTAAGAGGATTTCTGAAACCATTGTTCAGTTTTTGGGTGCGAAACCCTAACAGAGGACCATAGAAGACTGACAAGGTATCTGTGAGGGCAGGACGTCTTCAGAGACATCTGAACCTTGTTCACTTTTCTGCTCTCACACCTTAACTGGCTGTCTGTTTTAAATTCCTCTATCACAGCACATTCCTGGAACTGAGGTCAATCCTAGGTCACCAGTTGTCTTAAAAGAAGTCCCATCTTTTAAGATAGAGTCTGTGAAGTCACATTGCACTTAAATCTCAGCATATCCTAGAGTGAGTACTCAGAGCTGTTGAGTCAGCTCTCTAGCCCTCACCAATCTATGTTAATAGAAGCACCTTTGCTAAAATCAACAAGGTTTACACCATTCAGGAAAAATCTACAAACTAAAACAGTCATACAGTACAAAGTTCAAGTTATACTATGTCAGGCAAGCATTCAAGACAGTTGAAGTGACGGTTAAAAGCACAGTAGTTTTCTAAGTCCCTAAAGGTGTCTTGGTCACAGTTTCTTACCTTTGATGGAGGGTTTGGAACTGAAGTTGGAGGTTCTGGAAGCCTAAGGAAGTTAACAGTGAGAATCATGGTCATGGTATGTCTCACGTCTCACAGACAACAGAGAAGCTGTGGTGAGTCTTATCTGCAGAGAGACCCGACCTTTGCCTATCATCCTGCTCACCTCAGTGAGGAAGGCAGCCTCACTAACGAATGACATCTTACCTCTTATGTCCTTACATAAACATAGCCATGTTTATGCTAAAGACACAGTTAGAACCTGTTTTGTTGAAGTCAGTGGCTTATCTTTCACCTCCATGACTGCATTTTGGCAGAGGAGCATATTTTTCTTCATAAATGACAATTTATTTAAATAAATGACATTAATTTAAAAGTAAGAAGTACTGTAACTATTGGGAAAAGTCACATAAACTTTATTGTCTCTCTATCAAAGAATAGTTTACTTTGCATTATCTTTCACCCAAAATTCAGTGTAACGGGAAAAAATCAGCACAATTAATGGAAAGGAAACAAAGGCCTCTATCAAGACAAGCAGCTTGGGAATCCAGAGAACATCAAGCAGAGAGACAGTTAGTAAAAGCAAGCCATCAACACCTGCAACTGGTCAGGAAACCAGTTTCCACTAGAGTTTTCTGAAGTAGATGTGATGAGTTTTTACTGTCAACTGTCAGTTTTTACTGACACAACCTAGAATTACTCAGGAAGAGGGAACCTCAACTGAAGAATCACCCTGAAGAGACTGATGGGCCTGTGGGTATGTCTGTGAGGTACTGTCTTGACTGATGAAGGAGGACCCTGCCCACTGTGTGCAGCACCATCCCCAGGCAGTGGGCCCACGCTGTATAAGAAAGCTACATAAGCAAGTTAATACGAGTGTCTCTTATTACTCTGGTTTCTGTTCCAGGCTCCTGCCCAGGTTTCCCTTGAAGACGGATTGTAACTTGTAAGTCAAATAATCCCTCCCTTCCCCAGGTTGTCCTTGGTTAGTGCTGTATCTCAGTAACAGAAAGCAAACTAGAACAGCAGGACCTATGGAATTTGTTGGAAGCAACAACTATATTATCTCTTATTAGATAATAAAGAAGAAAAAGGATTTAAACAGGATCAAAAAAAAGTTATTAAGTCATCAGGCATATAAAACTTTAATACCAGCTACTAATATCTTGAAAATGAACAAGAAAATGACTTTAAGACACATTAAAGATCTTTCTAAGGGAAGGCTACAAATAGGGTCATCCTAAAGACCAACTACTCTTGTAGCCCTTCAGGGTTTCAGTCTGCAGTGATCTGAGCACTCAGCACCAGGAAGGCACTTGGTGGTGGAGATCTTATAATTAATTGTGCATGAGGCACACTACAGAACTTGTAATTTTTAAAACTATTACTGTCTCTTTTTAGTTCCCATCTCTCTTAAAATGATCACAAAGAACCAAATTAACTGCCATAAGGGATAAAAATTTAACACATATTATCCTCTAAAACTGCATAGAGCTATAATTTTAACTCTAAACTTATTTTACTACAGTCAGTTTCTACCAAATCAAATCATTCTGCTGAAGGTCCATTAAGAATCACTTCCTGTTACACAGTGTGGCACAGCCCAAGGCTCACATCTCATCATAACCTGACACTCCATGCCACTGAACCACCCCCTGCCAGAAGGAGCATGAAGGAGCTTGGGGTCAGGCTGGAGATGAATGACACTTACTTCAAGGACTTAGATAAGTCATCACTTAATTCTTTAGGGATGTAATCAGAGATCAGACCATGGGCATAGCGAACATAGTCCTCTGAAAGAAACAGAATACGGAATGAAAAAAATAATTAGTAATAATTGCAGTGGTTTGAGTCAAATTGATCCAAGTTCAAATTCTTGTTCTACATGGGTTTGGAAATTCATTTAAACTCTACTTTCGGTTTCTGCATTGGTAAAACAGGGATACTAAGACCTACCCATCAGGAAAGGAAAAGTACAATGGATGAGATGTAAAAGGGATGCTGCCCCAGGCGTGACTGCACAGAGATGGCTCCAAATACCCCTTTACAAACCAAAGACTCAGGCCAGCTTTCTTAGTTAAGACCCAAATACAAATAAAATCACAAACCAGACCTAACAGCAAGAATTGTTTGAATCTCTTTTTTAATGGCCATTTTTTGCAAGCCTGCTTCAATAAAGAAGCCAATTACTGAACAGGAATGAGTATGCTCACAAACATAGTAACAGAACAGGAAAAACTGAATCAGCAGAATGTAGAATCATTAAATTTTTAAATTTCCGGTGTTCAGTGCCAACCACACTGCAGCAGTCTGAGGATGTCATGTAGTGGCAGTCTGTCTAGCATGCTTGAGACTGCAGGGTCAGTTCTCAGAATGGAGAGAAGTTGGAAGGAAAGGAATAAGACAAAAATGTAAACCAAAACATTTTTTTTGCAAAGAGAATTAATTTTCACTTCTAGAACACCGAGAACTCTCTGAGGAGATGTGAGATACTGGGATCTAAGAGTGACCTCCCCTGGAGCCTGAGGCAGGATGGAGGCCAGGCCAAAGGCCATGTAGTCTAGCTGAGAGCCTCCATCAGCAGTCCTCTGGCTTCACTATTTGCTAGGTAGGAATTTGGCACGGCCTTGCTTCTCATGACATGTCTGGTACACCTGTCATATACAAACACTTCACAAAGGGTAGCAAGAGTGTTCACAGCCACTATCACCATTAGTATACAATACTGTTCACCAAACAAATGATTCAAGCCACAGTTAGTGACCGGCACCACCTAAGGCTGAAGTCGGCAGTGTCTGAGCTCAGAGTTGTCTACACAGCTGTCTTCCCCCCTCATAGAGCAGACAGCAGTTAGTTCTGTGGCAACCTTCTGCTTACCTTCCTTGTCCCTGGAAATCCGATCACCAGAGAAATATGCAGATGACTGTACCCGGGCTCCAACATTGATGTTATTGGCTTTCAATGCCACCACAGTTTGGTTGACCTAGGAGGTAAACACAGGAATGTACTTTCAAGATAACTTTGCAATGCCATGACTCCCCAGATGGCTTTTGGTCCACCAGATATCCAGGAAATATTTAAGCACCTCGAACTATCTTTGCCAGCTCTGGTGGTCTGAATAAGAAGACCGCCATAGGCTCATATTTTGAATGCTTAGTCACCAAGGAGTAGAACTCTCTGAAAGCATTAGGAGGTAGGGCCTTGTTGGAGTAGGCGTGGCCTTGTTGGAGGAAGTGAGGTTTCAAAAGCCCATGCCAGGCCCTCTTTGCTTTTCTGCCTATGGATCAGTATGAATCTCTCAGCTACTGCTCCAGCGTCGTGCTCCCTGCTATGATGATAATGGACTAAATTTCTGAAACTGCAAGCAAGACCCCAATTCAAAAATTCTTCCATAAGAAGAGTTGCCTTGATGTGTCTTCATAGCAACAGAATAGTGACTAAGACACCAGCTGTCGGAAAATGATTTAACGAGAGGGAGAGCCACAGTACTGAATGATCGTAACACATGGGCTTTCTGAGCCCCACACAACACCGTGGGAAGCGCTATGAGAATGGAGAAGAGAGACTCTAGAATTAACCTGCCCCGACCCAGCTATCTGAGCAACATCCAACCACAAGAGCTCCTGGCATTCAGGGGCAGGGCCATGCAATCAAAAGAAAACTAGGTTCTGTTTAACCTGGGATCTCTACAGGCATTTTCCTGGCTATTCAGGATGGTCACGGGTCTGGTCTTATGTCTAATCTGCAAAGCCACACACCTTTTTCACCAGCCACTTCAGGGTCTTCTCTGCGCTATACTTGTAGTACTTCTTGCTGTTTACTTCTGCGTTGAATTAAAAGAGAAAAGTAAGAACCTCAGTCTAATGAATTAAACTAACAACAGCCATAGACTTATAACACAAACTACCTATCTCGGGTGGAATCAGACTGAGCTGCCTGTCTGGGTTTACAGATCTGCTGCCGTGCAACCACCCTGGGATGTGACATTACTCTCTGAACCTGCTTTCTCCAATACAAATGAGGGGATAACTCAGGAGATGTGTGAGCACAACAGGAGGTAACACACACAAATTACAATACAGTGTCTGCCACATAAAAATATGGAAGAAAAGGTGGCAAAGACATCTGTAAACACTAACAGCAGGAATTAACAAGCTCTTCACATATAATTCTTCCTTGCTGGCCAGAAGAAACCTCAAATGACGATGATATTTTAGCAGTCTTTCTCTCCTCCCTGAGACAGGTTTCTCTGTGTAGACCAGGCTGGCCTTCAACTCACAGAAATCTTCCTGTCTTGGCCTCCTGAGTGCTGGGATTAAAGGCATGAGCCAACACAACCAGCTAAGAAGGAAATCTCAATAATAGATTATCTAGATCAACCGCAATGATTAGGGTGGGAAGGCCTGCCCCCTGTGGGTTGTGTCAGAGCAGACAAGGCTAGCTGAGGAGCAGCATGCACACAGGCATCAATGTGCTGCTCCGCTCTTGACCGTGGCTGTAACACGGGAACTGGGAACCAAAATCAACCCTTTCTCCACCCAGCTACTGCTCTCAGAGCATCTTATCACAACTGTCTGGGGCAAACTAAAATGTGCCCTGCCCACTAAAGGTCCCCTACACCCACAGCTCTAGAGTTCTCACAGCACACCTGCAGTGCTCAGGTGGCCACGGAGCACCAGGAGATTCCTTTCTCAACCTTCCGGACGCTGCGACCCTGTAATACAGCCCCTCATGTTGTGATGACCCCCAACTATAAGATTCTTTCGCTGCCACCTCCAAACTGTGATTCTGCTACTGCTATGAATCCTAATGTAAACATCTGATGTGCAGGACACCTGACATGCAACCCCTAAAGGGGCTGTGACCCACAGTTTTGAGAGCTGCTGTTATAGATCTTCACAGAAATGGGTCGCGCGGAGTGTGTTCGACAGCTTCTGAGAGCCGTCTCCACGCTGCTGTCTGCGGTGTGCTCCTGGTTAGAGACTACATTTCTGACCCATCTCAGCCAGCCTTTTGTTCCACTTTTGGGCTATTTGAGGATGGTTGCTATTTAAAATAAAACAAAAGAGAGGCTGCATCCTCACTCAAATTTTTGCACTGACACACATATGCTTAGAAAAAGAACTAGGCATAGAACTCCTGAGTCGCATAAAACTGTCAAGTGGTCATAACTGTGTCTTTAAAAACCAAGAATATCTACTAGATGAAATATAAGATACACGGTTTTAACAGGTGGTTCTGTGCCTGAGAAATACTGGAGTTCCCCAAGATCATACAAATTTTTCCCTTTTTCTTCCAAAAGATCAATGATTTTTAGTTTTGCATTTAATTCAACAAACTGCTTGGAGTTACTTTTTCTGACAATGTCCATTATTTCCACAGGGCAATTTGACAGACACCCTTCCCACACTGAACTTTCACAGCACATGACTGCATACACAAAGCTGCTCTCTGGAAGTGGCTTTACGGCTCAACACCGTGCTGACTCCAAGTCGTGCTTTCTTGTAGGTGCCTCTGGGTTTTTACTGTCTATGAAGACAGACAATTTTACAGAGATTCTCAATTGCCTGCCCTTTCTTTCTTCCTCATATTACAGAACCTTCTAAGACTTCTGTCAAGATGAAAACAGAGACAGCCTTGTCGGAGCTGGCATAAAGGAGAAGGTGTGTCCACTCTCTTATAATGTTTATGCAAGGAGTGTGCTGCAGACACCTTTGTCAGAGTGAGACAAGTCACTTCAAATCTACTTTCTCAAGGTTTTCCACAACCAAGAAGCTTGCAGAACCCCTTCCCTTGCCTCCTAGGTTAGAATCATGGAATATTACATAGCTATAGGAAGGAAGGGAAGAACTATTATCAGAAGATAAGGCACGAGAGGTCTTCAGGCATCTTTTCTCTCTCCAATGTAAAGGATTTTTGTTTTCAACTTTCTAGTATGTCAAATTTACAGACCACTGTTCATTACGGGAAAGCTCCCTCCATGACTGTGTGGCACCTCAGCTTCTGCAGAATAATCTCCGTCCCTCAGATCTCCCTGCTGAAAACCTCAGTGTCACACGGCCACAGCCTGCTGCCAAAGGTATGTGCACCGTACCTTTCTCTTCTGTCACATGACGAAGTGACTTCTCAAGCTCAGGAAATCTCAGCAACAAGACACAATCTGGAAACATGCCATCCACTACGACCTGATCCAAGGGCTGATACTTTCCCTGAAAGGAACAACTGAGTCAGTCAGGCGGCCAACAGTTCAGTCAGTGAGCTTTTACAGCACAGGACAAGGGAAAACAGGATCACTCCACAGAAAAGCTTTGTGTTAGCATCTGTGCTCACCCTTCCACTGAGGGTCTCTAAACTGGGAAAGGTTCAAGGGCCAACCCTAAGCCTCTCTTGTGAGGACGGCATTCTAAACATCAAGCTGGTTCCCTCAAGGGTACAGCTGCTGTGTGATACAGAGATGCTGGAGACTGTCTGAAGATGGCCCAGCTATTCCATATAAAAAAGTCAACTGTCACACAGGCCTAGAACAAGCCCAGACAGACCAGACCCAGAATATATTATCTGCTTCCCTCATGCACTCCAGGGCTCAAGAAAACCAAACCAAACCAAACAAAAAGGCCCCTACTTCAAAAAGAAAAATTCCCAGAGTGAATCCATTCCTCAGGGAGCCATGAGCTAAGGCTTCCAAATGAGATGGGAATAAAGGAAAAGGCAACTATGACGTAAGTACAGAGGCAGGCAGGCTAAGGCATGCCCAGACAGTCAAGCTGACACAGCTGTCGGGAGCGAGCCATGCATGTTTGCAGAGGTCGTTTCTCCTCACTCTCTAACAGCAAAGGAAAGCGTGCACAGCTGATGAAGACATTCTCCCGACTGGGGAGCCAGGCTTAGGAATGGGTGCCCTGTCTCTCCAGGTCCCACCTCTGCTTCTCTGTTTCTATGACCAAACTTGTAAAGACAGACGTGTGACTGATCGATTTTCTCTGGTTTTCAAGGTGAATCCTCTTGTTTCTTTCACAATACACATGATAACTTGTTCTATTTTTCCATTAGGCTAAAAGAGGTAAGAAGTGCCAGAGTGAAATGTTCTTCCATCTGACCTAGGCTCCCCAGGGTTACAGTCTTTGGGCTTCTACTTTAAATGTTTGCCTTCCAGGATCAACCAGCATTTTTATACTTAGTTGCTTTAAATAGTACTGACAAGCATGAAACCACAGCCATGATGGAAGTTTTATCATTGCTATTGCATTCTTATTTTCTTTGCCACATGTACATAAAAAAGTAAAATAAAAATCTGTTCTAAATAAGGTTAGGAAGACTTAGTGTTAAAGGCTGTGATTTTAAAAGAATGGGTCAAATTCAAAAATGGGGTCAATATTTTAATAACTAAATAGATATGGCCCCATCTAAACTAGGGAAGAAACACTAGCCACCCACGTGCTTACACTTCCAGGACTTAAGAGAAAGGACAGTGACTCTGGTGAGCATCCCTCTGCTTCTGTCTGTCTGTCACCCTGAGTCCACCACACAGCAGAAGGCCAGGCTGCGGAGCACTAAACCTGGGTCTTGCTCCTAACAGGAGATGGGGACGCAGTGCCGGGTACTGGAGCTGTGAGCGCCTTTCTCCCTGTTAATCCAGCTTAGAAAACAACGTGTGAACCAGCTGAAGTTCCCAAATCCATCCCCAAATCCTCCTGTAGCTTCCTGGCAACAACCAGAACCATCTCTACGACTTAGAGACGTGAGTCCCAATTGCCTCACTGCCGTGTACCCCAATGTATTGGCTATCGTGGCAGCTTTCAGAAAAGAGCAAAGTGAGTCAACTGAGGGGCAGAACTCCACTAATATACTGTAAAAGGAGAGAAGCAAGTACCAAGAAAAATAGGAATAAAGTTTTGGGTGAGTTTTGCAATTTACAACATCCTAAAATTGATGAACCTACAAAATAAAGTTTTGAAAATTTGGTTTGAAGACCAAATAAAATGAGCCATAATCATTTACTCTATGTGCAAATGAGAGTCTGAGAAACAGAGCCTGCCTTAAGCATTTCAAATAACTCACTAAACTGATCTCAAAGATTTTGAAACTGATTGATGGACCCTTCAGGGTTCCTAATTCCCCTTTAAGAGGTCCCCAAGCTCAAACCTATATTCATAATGATTCTAAAAGGCTGTTTGCATTTGTATCAGGTTGACATGACATTGGTAACTGAAACGATGTTGAACAAATCTGGGTCCCTTAGCTGGAGTTAAGGCACCGACACCAAAATACACTGTATTCTTAAAGTTTTTAAAATGCCAGTTTCACTTAAGATATCCTTGCTCAGTGGGGCTAGAGAGATGGCTCAGAGGTCAAGAACATCTGATGACTTTTTAGAGAACCCAGGTTCAGTTCCTAGCACCTGTGTGGCACCTCACAGTTGCCTGTAGCTTCACCTCCCAGAGCTGTGATGCTCTCTTCTGCCTCCATGAGTACTGGGCACACACACTGTCCATATGTGCAGCCACTACACAAACACACAAAAGAAATCTATTTCAAACAAACAACAAAAACAAAAAAACCAATGAAACAAACACAAAGACAATAATATCACTGCTTAAGTAGTAGAAGCAATGAGTTTTCCTTAAATCTTGATCCTGAATGCAGTCATTACCACTCTGTGTGAGAGACGTCTGCTTATCCAGTTTCTACTGTTGTAGCTCGGGGCACAGGCATCATGGAGGAAGAGTGCTGAGAGACATTAGTGCTTTTGCTCTGGATACTCAAGCCCCAACCACACAGAGCTTCCCCACTGGTGTTTACTAGGCATAGGCACACTTAAGTTTACCTGTTTCTCAGATACTCACATAAGAAGGTAAATCTCCTGGCCAAATTCTTAACATTCCCATCTAAGCACTTAGTGGTAAGTTTCTATTGCTAGGCATGGCTACCACCGAGATACACAAGAGTGGCAAGATAGGCCATTAAGGTCACAGCTACCTAGTAGCAAACCTGATCACCATTGAGGTGCTGCTTCCTGGGGGAGGTCAGGGTGCTCTGCCTCACACTGGTACACATGGGGCCCATATTGTAATGACTGAAGAACACTGTGAAAAGGAGAGTGTCTTCTGCCCCTCCCTGCAATCACTGCAAGTGGGAAGCTCACCTCTTTGCCAGCCTTTATGAGGTAGTGAAGGAGCAGAAACAGAGGATCCATGGGGGTCGCAAAGTGGAGAAGCCCCCCTGCAGATGAAAAAGAACCAGGAGAGGGACACGCTTTACAAGAGCCATGGTTATTTCGTCTCTCGGGGCGAGCTGTAGTGAAAGCCCACACTCCCTCCTGCCCGTGTGACAGCACGTGCAACAGCTTGTGCTTTCCATCAGGCAAACTCAGGAGTCAAGAAAGACCCTGGTTTAAACGCTCCCATTTCCTGGAGTTAGATTCCGCGTGTCTGACTGCCTTTAGGACAAAACAAAACTGTTCTTTAAAAGTCTATGAGAAAGAGTGATCGATGAGCCAGACTGTCCAGGCTCAATCATTGCTTCCCTACATTTTCCAGTCTCCACCCGACGTTCTGCAGCTATGGGCCAATACCAGCTGAGAGTGTGCCACCCCAGGAGCTGGAGCTCTCGTGGACTCCCTAAGGATTAGGACAGCTACAATCGAAGGGGACAGTGTACTTACCATCTCCTGAGTTACACAAACTACACTAAATTAAAATAAATCCTTGTGTGTGCGTGTGTCTGCAGGCATGTGTGCGTGTGTACCCGGATACAGACGCCCATGTGGCCCAACAGGACATCAGATCTCCTGGAGGGGGTGGGACCATGGGGCCTTTTCCTCTTGCTCTCTCTCTCTTTGGTTCTTGGCCACGAAGTGAATGGTTTGGCCACATGGTGCCACCAAGATGTGCCATCTCAAAACCAACCAAGCCAAGGTACCAAGGACTAAAAGCTCCAAACTGAGAACCACAGCACACCTTCTCTTCTGATGGGCTGACCGCCTAGAGTGTGCACTGATCATATGACAGTGACAGGAAAGCGGGCTAAAAAGGGCACAGTAGGTTACATGAGAAACCACTTCTTTAAAAGGCATTACTTTCTAGTTTGTTTTAGAAACTGTATCAGTTTGCTCAAGGAAATAATACGTTAAAAATTTCTCTAAAGGAAATATTTCCAATCGACTCAACCCACACTCCATGGCACAGGCTCTCTAATTCCTGTCACAGGGTGTGTTGGTATTTCAGGAGAGAAACCAGAACTGTCAATTTAACATGTGACAAGACAGCATCACTTGCTGCAAACCCTTTCTGACGCACAGAAAAGCTCCTTGCTTACACATACCAAACCAGCAGGATGAACCCATACACACGAGATGTGTTAATGGTAGGGGAAAAAATACATACATACACACATACATACATACATGCATACATACATACATACATACACACACACACACACACACACACACACACACACACACACACACACACACATATATATATATACCTGTCACTTACCTGATTGAACTGACTGATTTATAAACCAAGAACGGTGCTTTTCCTTGAAAATTTTGATTTCAAACAGCTGATGTAGACACATATCCAGTAAGTAAATGGCTCCTTCCCCTGTAACACAGATGTGCTCAGTACCGTCACTATTCTCACACACATATGTATATCAGAAGTCTGTCCAGAGTTCCAAGGAATGCTCCTAAGAGGAACCTAAACATATGGAGTCACGTTCTACACTTGCAGACTCCAAGGAAAGTTCATGGGTATTAGGCACAGACATTCAGTTTCCAGCTCCATAATCCTCGCTGAACATAAACTGCAAAAGTGAAAGGCACAAGTCATTTACCTTGACTGTCATACAGCCTCCTAGCTACCAGATCCTAATGGTTCTGACAGATGTGAGCTAGCTCCTGGGTCTGTCACTCGTCAGCATGTAGCTCCCTCTACACAGGAGCAAAGACAAGGAACGACCAAGCCCTCAGATGGCACTGGCCACTCTGAGAAAGAAATGAACTCTCTTAAAGCCTTAGTCAAATGGATGCAACTTTCTGTTTTATTCTTTTAAAGAGGGAGGGGGGGGTTAGAGGCTCAGCTCAGTCAGTGGTAAAGCACTTGTCCAGCATGCGCTAGGTCCGGGGGTCAATCCTCAGCAAAGGGACAGGAGGGGTAAAGATTGTGCATATCTGAGGTTTGACTAACTCAGGTCCAGGGTGAGTCCTCAGCAACATGGGTCTAAGCGGTAGGAGAAATGGGGATAGAAGGGATGCATATCTGATGTTTTACCCCTCGACTCATCCAATCTTTTTCTAACCACAGAGCCATCTCTGAAATCTCTGGAATCACATGCTGAGTGCGACACTGGGGAAGCTACATAATCTGCTTGCTCATCTGTGTCCATGGCGATACTGATTGCACCTTAGAGGGTTTTTATGAGGACTGAACAAAAGGAAACACCCCTACATTTCCAGAGCACAAGCCAGGACATGGGAAGTGCTTAGCTTAGTTCTCTGACTGTTCCGGTGTGGGTCAACAACTCTGACTGTTCTGGTGTAGGTCAACAACTCTGACTGTTCCGGTGTGGGTCAACAACATTGACTGTTTTCTGGTGTGGGTCAACAACTCTGACTGTTTTCTGGTGTGGGTCAACAACTCTGACTGTTCTGGTGTGGGTCAACAACTCTGTTTTCTGGTGTGGGTTGACAACTCTGGCTGTTCTGGTGTAGGTCAACAACTCTGACTGTTTGGGTGTGGGTCAACAACTCTGACTGTTCCAGTGTGGGTCAACAACTCTGGCTGTTCCGATGTAGGAAAACAACTCTGGCTGTTCCAGTGTGGGTCAACACTCTGACTGTTCTGCTATGAGTCAACAGACATATTTAATTTAATTTCACTTAGAGAAAAGACACTAGAAGAATGGGGTTGGGTGTTTGTTTTGTTCTGTTTTACTCCCTCATTGTCTGAGTTACACATCTTTTCAACAAAATACGACCCATGTGCTTTCCCTTATTCCCTATGCAGTGATACAGTCCCCAGGAGAGCCCTGGCGTATAGCATCATGTGTTTACTCAGAGCCTAACAATTCAATACAAGGGAAACCCCGTGTCACCTCAGCTGAATGGATTTTAATACTTTTACTCCAAAATTAGAAAACACAAAATATGCTAAATATAAAATTAAAATAAACTTATTCTTCAATAAAACATAAAGCTCTCCAATAAACAATGATTTAAATAAAAGAAAAAAATCACCTAACAGGGGGGGAATTAGCCTTTTTGGTCAGACTGAAAGAACAGCTAAAACCGAAACCAACCAAATCATGACACATTGAAGACGGCCTCACGCATTTTCATTCTGTTTATTTTACCGTACAACACAAAATGAATATAAATGCAGGCCAGTGTTGGTAAGCATGCTAAGAAAAGTTGGCATAAGAAAGCCAAAGAAAATCAATCCAGAGGAAGCTCAAACACACCACTTCTCTATGTTGCCAACATTTCTAATGATTTGACATTCTGTGGATGAAAACTATAAAAACGATCCTCTTTGCAAAGTTTAGTGTGATTTATCCTGGAACATTAATCAGCTTGATTTTCCACTGCAGGATGCTGTGAACTTTTTAGTTAATTCAAAATGACACACAGGCAAGCAAGCACGCCACATACTGAGCATGGGGCTGCAGACATTCAAGAATGAGAGGACCCAAGGAAGTGAGACCCACCTGAGCGCGGGCTGGCCAATTTGACAAACAGGAGGCCACTCTTCATCTTCTCTGAGGCATCTTTTAAATATTCTGAAAAGAAATAGTGAATTAGAGAAATTTAAAGACAGTCTCTCCTGTGCCCTCACTCTCCTCCATTTTACTTCTTCCTACTTATGCATTCTTTCTCATAAAATGTTATTTATCATGTATGAGCTATGTGATCCAGTAAACACCTGTCTTCCAGGGAAGCGGCGGTGGAACTGGAGGTAGGTTTAGTCTGGCTCTAGAGGCAGATGTCAACGTCCTCACCTTGGCCCAGGCTTCTCTCCCATCTCAATCTCCTTTCAGAAATGATGACAGTACATGTATTTTTTTTTTTAAACTTAAACTAAGTAGTCAAAGACACTTAGCGTAACTGAACAGAAATACAAAATAAATTATAGCTATTATTATGAAGGACATACATTTATTAGACCCCTATCTTTCATTTCTGACACCATTAGTTAACAATATCCCTCGCTCATTTTCTTGGTGGGGGTTTCATCTTTTTTAAAAATTAAATTATTTTATGAGTAGCCTATATACAATAAAGACAGTAACTGTATTTTAGCTCTATTTGTTTCTAATTATCTTTTTGCCACATTAAAGATATAAATCTGTGTAATCTTAATTTTTCTTCATGTTTGCATCCTTTGTGTCATACTTCAGAAAGCCTTCAAGTCTTCTTCTTTGAAAGTATGTATATTCCTATATTTTTGTGGATACTTTATATTCAGTCAATTCAAAATATATAAATACCCTGAGTATAAGATAGAGGGAAAAAAATCCAACTTTAATTTTTTTTAATGGGTTGGCCATTTGTATCAAAGCTCATGGAGTGAGCCTGCCATGAAAACCTTCACACTAAACATTTAAATGCACTGTGGTCTGCTGTAGACAGTCAACTCTGATCCACTAATCTGTGTCTACTTTAGTGTCAGTACTTCAAGACTTAATCGTAACAGATTTACTTTAATCTGTAGAAAGCAAGTTTCTGCAGTGTTTCCTCTACAATATCTGACTGTCAAGTTTTATTTACACAGATTAAAGCATGCAGACCAAGATGACACCTTCAACACACCAAGCAGCAGTCAAAACTCACACAGACTCCAAAAAACCAGGAGCTCTAGGCAGTCAAGGGCACAGTCTGTCTACACAAGAGCACCACAGGAAGGCAGTCAAGAGGCACAACCAGTTTATATAAGAACACCCCAGGAAGGCAGTCAAGGGCACAGCCCATCTATAAAGAGCACCCATCTACACAACAGCACCCAAAGAGATCTTGGTGAGGAACTGAGCTTACTCTCTTTGTTCTGTCCATTCGGCCTCAATTCCATATGCACACAGATACTGCAAACAGACTGAGAAATTAGCGCTCCATAAATAGAACACTTTTGCTTCGTCCAATAGTAACCATAATAGCAATAGTAATACATAAACAAGAAAAGCTCATTTTAAGATTTCTACTTTCAATTAAGATAGAGTATCGAGATTCAGAAACAATAGTCACCATGCAAAGCATGAGGCTGCGGTTCTAAAGACACTGACCACCAGTCATGTAGAACAGCGGGCTCGTTGCCCTGGTTTACTTCCTTGAGAGGGTTTCCAGGACCTGGTGCAGAGGAGCTGGGCAAAGCCTGGCTGAATTAGGGCAGATGTGATAGAGTGGAGAGCTCCAAAGACAAGAATGACAGAGGCCACAGTAAAAGACCCTGTAAGAATGGGATTCAGGTGTGTGCAGCAGGGCCTCTCCGAGGACTCATCAGGAAACGGCTCTGTCCTTCCACGTGCACATGAGAGACTCTCCAGGAGAAGCAGAGAACAAAACTCACAGGCATCTCTCCCAGGTTTATGACCTCAGGGCATGAGATAGAACACTCAACAGGTACTTACCCCTGACACTGCTAAGATCTCATCGCACTAATTAGAAAGCAATGGCAAAGGATCAGACTCTTCTTGCCAAGAAATATATTTTTGAGTCCAAAAATACTTAAGAATATAGAAATACCCATCACCCCAAAGGTGAACTGATGAGAGGTGAAGGAAAGGCCAGCTGTTGCGAGAGAGACTGGTATTATACACGGAACATCAAAACGAAAGGAAATGGCACAGAAGCAAACCTCAGGGAGAACACATCAACGGGACAAAAGACTTTTTTAGTGATCTAAACTGAAATGCTAGAGAAGGAAAAAAATGACAGACAGAACCAATGACAAAAGATAAGTGAACTCGAAGATTTATCCAGTAACAGAAAACACTCTGAAAGCACAGAAAATTTTTAAAAAGAAATCTGATCTACTGGCAGCATCAAACCTCCTACTATGTGTGTGAGGGAAGCTTCCAAAAGAAGAGAAATGAGAAGGCAAACATGTCTGAAAAGCACATGTGAAATGTTCCCGGTCTAAGGAACACTATAAACTCACATATCCCAGAAGCTCTGTGATCCCAAAGCATACAACAAGAAGAAAACAACATAACCAAGAGTTCATTCAAAACCAAGGGTGGGAACAGTCACAGGACATACAGAGAAGCAGGCTAACGAAGACAGCTAAGATGTAAAAACAATGCAAGCCAGAAGACAATCCAGAGCCATCCATAAAGTAAAACACTACGACCACAGAGAAGCTACCGACCTTTGGAAAAGGAGGAGGGAGGAAAACAAAACTTCAGGCACACAGAGCTGAAAGAAACCACTGGTGACATACGCGCACCACAAGGAACGCTAAGGGAGAGCTTTCTGCGGTAGGATCATGAGCCAGGTGCAGGAATCTGAACAGGAGAACACACGCGGGGGCAAAAGGGGGAGCTGTTCATATTATTTTAATCTCTTTAAGGATTATTGGCTGCTTAAGTTAAAAAAAATAATTCAGAGTAGTGTTCACATCATGTGTACACAGAAAATGTATGAGAACAGCTTACGTCCAGGAAAGAAGAATGTAAGAATGCCATCGTGAGTTTCTTGTGCCGCATGTGAAGTGACAAGCAGCACCTGGAGGTAGAGGGGACCAATTACATACACGTACAAAGAACTCTACAGCAGTCACCAAAATTAAAAAACAAAAACAAAAACCTGTCACTCATACGACAATAAAGGATATGAAACTGAATTGTGAAAAATGTTCACTTAACCAAAAAGAGGACAAACTAGACACAAAGAACAGATGATAAACAGGAAACATCAGGACAGCAGCAGGCTCAACCCCAGCTACACCTATGTCCATATCCACGTCAAGGGTCTGAACATCCCAACGACAAGCAGCAACTCAGACAGAATTAAAAAGCAAGAGGGAAATGCATGCTTCCCACAAGAACTACATAATCATAAAGACACAAGCAGAATGGAAGGAAAGAGAAGCAGATGCTAACAGACTTTACCAAGGGACTTTAAAAGGTCACTTTATAATGACAAGAAGGCATGATGCCCTAAATGCTTCCTCACCAAACACAAGCTGCAGAACACACAAAGCACATACAGACAGCACTTTCTGGACACCTGACCCTGACAGCTACTAATCTGTCCCCCAGCTCCATGAATCTTTAAGAATGTTACATAAATAGAACAGTGCAGGTTCAACTGTCAGACTCTTTCTGGAATGACACATCTAGACTGAAGTGTAAATTACAAAGTTCGATCCCGTTAGAATTCCCCCCCACTCGTGTGTCCCCACCCCCAGCAAGAACCTACTCATCGCCCTGTGTCTCAGGACCCAGGACACCTGACAGCCTCCCCCACAGCACTTCCTCAAACCTCACCACAATGGCAGATCTTCCAACGTGAACTTGATGAATTATTTTGACCACTTCCTCCTATCACAAGAAAACTGTACTGTTTGTTTTCCAGCTTCCCCATTCCTTGAGAGCCCCCAAATAATGAAGAATATGAAATGCCAAGTCAAAAAGACATTTCTAGAGAGAAACTCTCCAAAAGAGCAGTCAGTGAGAAGGTTGCCAACAGCCTAAAACGCTATTCTGTAAGGATGTCTGCGGTTACACAGCACAAACAGGTAAACAACCAGTGTGCCATGCTGAAATGCCAATATTCTCTGAACATACAAAGGCAGGCAGAATGAAGATGCCCCATTGGTGTGGTCAATCTTATTTCCTCACAAAACCACTTGCTGCCGGACTGGATTAACAAGAAACTAACTGAAACGGGATTAAAATGTTCAAAAACTGCTAGAAGAAAATACCTGTGCTTTGGTCTGATCAAAGACTTTTCTGGGATGTAATTCCAAAAGTCCAGAAAACAGGGCCAAGATAACAGGTGGGATTACATCACGATAAGAGCTTCTTCACAGCAATCAGAAAACAAGACACAAGTGATCTGTAGAGAAGCTGACTACTGTGCTCTCTAGGAGAACTTAGATGTGGATATAAACTGAAGCATTTTTGTATACTGCAGAGGTTTCAAGATAAATATATTTCCTCTAAATATGAAAAAACAGGCAACATTTTTTTTTTGCCTATCAAAAACCCTGACAACAACAAATTCACAGTGACAACGGCCACCAGGACCCAGCCTCCTTGGCTCTCTTTAGCATCCTGAAATATCCTGATGGGACAGTACCAACCGCCAAGTTGATCTTCCCTAACTGCCTTTTCATAGGCAGATTCCAAGCAGGCACAGCTGGGTAAAAACAGCCACCCAGTCCTGAGCCAGCTTCACCATCAGCTGGACTATTTCATGTGCTATTTCAGGCTGGGACTATCATACAAATAAAACCCCCGCGCCCACAGAAGCTTTATTCCCTTGTCTGTTTCCCTATCCCTGTCCATCAATCCCTCTGGTCCGTCACCTCTTTATCATCTAGTCCCCACAGGACAAGGTGAAGGACCTCACCTGCTGCAACCTGGCAGCTCTGGTATAGAACTGCATTATCCAAAGGAAATGACAGATATTACATAAATTCAAGTCCCATATGCAATTTAAATTTTCCTAGAAGCCACCTTAAGCATAGGTAAAATTGTAATGATATACATTTACCCTAATTTATTCAAAATACTTTCACTTCACAACACACAGACAAAAATTTCACATGGAATATGCTGCC